TTCTTGGGCATGGGCATGTCCTCCTCTGTCTTTTCATCTTCTGCATTGGCCTCGGGACTACTGTCCAAAGCCTCCTTGAAGTCCGAGCTGGGGCCGTATTGAGACATGGGCAAAGTCGGCTGCTCAGGGAGGACGGAGAAGCCCACGGTCTGCGCCTTGTGGGGCTCTGTCTGCCGGCTCATGGCGAGGCTCTGAAAAGCCGGTTGCACGGGACTCCAGGGAGATGTGATCTCACCCTTCCTGCGTCCTCCCCCTGCACTTGCCCGGGCTCAGGGACCTGGGCCAAGAGCCTCCCCACGAAGAGGGAGGGAGGGAAGGAGGGAGAAGAGAAGGAGCCAGTTACCCTGAGAAATGGAGCAAAGGCAGAGGAAGACCTTGCACTCCTGGACACACCCAGAAACCACTGGACTGATGCACGGACTCACACTAGGTCCGGAGACTCAGGGCAGGTGAAAGCCAAGAAGTCCCTTTACACTTCAAACTGCATAGTCTGAAGGTTAAAGATGGCCAGTTCATTCTCCCCCACCACCACCAAAGCATCTGAGTTTGAATACTTTAGAGGGGACCAGCCACACCCTATCCATTTGATAACAGGCTTTCCGTGCTTCCCACACTCCAGAGAGGGCTCCGGAGACTGGAGTCACTCAAGGCTTGTACCAGAGCCTTCCACTCTCTCCCAAATGTGGAAACAAAGAATTTTTCTCCTCTCCACTTTTTTTCACCAATAGGACCCCTGGAGAGAAATGCAGGGGAATCCAGCTGGTGTAGACAACTCAGATACATAATTGGGATGGAGAGAAGAAAGAGGGATCCACTTTGGAAACTGGGGTGAAGACAGCAATTGTATCAGCATCTAAGTCATGCATGAGTGACAAGAACTGAGCCTCTGAACCCTGACAAAGCTGGGAAATTGTCACATGGGGGAGGAATGACATCAGGAAAGTCCCTTCACCTCACTGGGCCCTGAATTCTTCATCTGAGAAAGGAGAGTAATAGTCCCTGTGAGGGACTCAAGTTTACATACTAAGCCAGACAAATTTTTGTGCTTCATAAATGTTAGCTATTATTAGGGTGCTATTTCTCCCGAATATTGTTGATTATAGTATCTCAAACCCAATATTCACTGTTGCAAATATTCCACCTGATATTCAGATATTCTGAGTTGGCAGGAAAATAAAAACGAGCATAATTTGTCATCCACAGCCTCAAAAACAATTGCTTACATCATCAGACTCAAAAGTATTAATCATCTGCTTGACTTTCACAGAACGTGAACTGATTTTCTGAGATGTTCCCTCTTGTCTCATGGGGTCATACTTATTTGGTAATCTGTCTCCTTAACTGGAAGGCAAGCTCCCTGAGAGAGGGGAACATCTTACTCATGTTTGTGTCACCAAGTGCCTGGTACAATGTATATGCTTGACAGAGCTTTCTGGAGGACTACTCAAAGGTGAAAGAGTACCTTCTCCGTCATGCCCTCTCCCCTGTTTTGGTTGGTTAATCAAGTTGGGATAAACCAAAAGATTAGCCTTAGCATTGGCTGATCCCTCTCTCAGGAATGCTGTTCCTCCTGACAACTGTCACATGGCTTCTCCCTTCTTATTTCTCAATGGTCAATTCAGATGTCACTTCCTCAAAGAGAAGTCTTTGGATTTATCTAGCACATAGATAAATTGGTCCCATAATTATTCTATATCTTACTAGGTTGTATTTTTTTTTCTTGGCATGTATCACAGTTGTGATTTTTTTTTTTTAACTAACTCATTCACTTTCTTTCTCTAGACTGTAAGCTCTCTAACCTGTTCAGAGTTGCATCTTCAGCATTTAAGAATTGTCCTGATGGGGCTGGGGGTGTGGCTCAGAGGTAACGCGCTCGCCTGGCATGCGTGCGGCCCGGGTTCGATCCTCAGCAACACATACCAACAAAGATGTTGTGTCCGCCGAAAACTAAAAACAATAAAATAAAAATAAAAAATAAAATGTTAAAAAAAAAGAATTATCCAGGTCCACATTAAGGATGCAGGAAATAGTTCTTGAATAAGTGGTCCAGAAGGATCTGGGAATACTGACAAATTTCTGTAGGCCTAACTCAAGTGGGCCAAGACTACTTGGAATGTTGAAAAAAAATGATTTTCAGGACTTGGGAAAGACCTAGCTTGAATTAGAATTTCCAAAAAAAGGAAATTCTGTAATTTTTAATGCCTGAGAAATCCATATTTCTAGGAACTCCCACCTCCCCTGTCTGGCAATTCTGATGCAACTGGATGATTTCTTAAGTACTTGTACTGTCTCCACTATAGTCCTGGATCCTTGGCTTAGAGACCCCCTTAAGCACCTCAAACCGCATCTGTTCCATAAGAACCTGCTTGTCACGGCTCCCTGTTTGCTGCCTGGTCCTACCACTTCTCCAACCTCCCCTTCTACCAATTCTTTCCTTTTTTGCCTGTGCTTCAGTTACATGGAATTCCCCCCCCCCACTTTCTCACCAATTTTTTCCCCATCCCAAGTTCTTCATATCTGCTGCTCCTCCCTCCTCGAGACTTCCCCTTCTCTCTGTCTGTTGACCTCTTCTCATTGTTCAGGATGTGCACCCCTCTCTGCCAGGAGAGGCCTTCTGGGGCATTCTGTCTACAGTAGTCTATTATACTCCACCCCCCTACCCTGTTCATGGCCTAAGTCAGTTCTCACAATCAGAAAAAAATTCTCATTTACTTTTTAATTATTTCCTTTTATGTTTTTATTAGTGGACTATATTATACATAATATTGGGGGTCATCTGACATAATCAGACATGCATGGGATATAATTAGATCACTTCTGTCCCTGGTACTTCCTCTTTCCCCTCTCCTCCCCCCTTCTCCT